CTCTCTCTCTCTCTCTCTCTCTCTCTCTCTCTCTCTCTCTCTCTCTCTCTCTCTCTCTCTCTCTCTCTCTCTCTCTCTCTCTCTCTCCCCTCCCATATTTTATTTCATATATTGATTTGTTGTATCCCTCCTCATTATGAGCACCAAGCCAGCCAAATGAACATCGTAAGTCACGAACAGGTCTATTGAATGATTAGTTGGAAAAATATTTCACATTATCTCCAGGTATGATGATTAGCTTATTTATAGGTTGGGTGGTCATACAGGCCTATTTATTGGTTGGCTAATAGGTCAACCATATGGTATTAGTCGCTTTGTCGGCATTTGGAAATCCAACCACATAGTCGTACCTCATTGATTACCTGAATGAAAAGTCTTCCACATCTTATCTTTTCTATGATTGATTAGCGGAGTTATTGGTTGGTGGTCGTACAGGTCTATTTAGTGGTTGGCTGAGATGTCAACCATTTCGCCTTAGTCGCTTCGTCAGTGTTGGCCAGATAAGTTGTAGTTTATTGATTGGCTGATTGTCTGGCTGGTTGGTTGGGAGGGGCATTTATATCAGCCCTAACTTGCCCATCGTTATCACTATGAATCTGGGTTTCAGGTGTGCGAAAGGTCCTGGGTCTATGTTGTTCTACCAAGGGGCCATGAGGCATGCTATGATGAAGCAGTTAGATTCAACCCCATATGCCCGACCAAATTTTACTTCCACATTAGGTGGACGATCAGGGAAGCAGGCGGGCCCTGGTAGGGCAGGCATTATACCGGTTAAAACATCATATTCGGCGGTACTGATTGGGAGGCAGATTACAGAACAACCTGCGAAGTTGGCTATCACAAGCATCAAAGAATTCCCTGCTCTGGGCACGCATAACCATCTCAATTCGCAGACCGATACTCTGGTCAGTCATCAGGCTGACGAGATGGTGCTTACTAAGAGTATATCTAATGATACGTGTATGAGAGATGATGATGATGATGAAGATGACTTCTCATCAGGGGAAAAAGATGAAGATGATGAGATCCTCACAGAGGAGGAGCGAGTGCTGGAAAAAGTTCATGACATTTTGAATAAGGATGATCATAGACAGAACAAATTTCAGGATGGTATGAATCCATCAACATCAATCAACAGTCAGAATCAGGAGAATCAGAATGGGCAGAATAAGAAAAATAGTCCCTCCCAAGGATCTAACAAGACATCATGGGCGCAGAAAGTAAGGGAATCTATTAAAAACAGAACGTTAGATATTCATCTCCCCGCAGTTGATTCTACTGGATCTCAGGACGAGAAATTGAAAGTACCTCTGAGAAATCTGTCATCGGCTCGTGCGTATTTTCTTTCGTTGTTCCTTCTTCCTTCGGAACAGCAGGTGATTGATCATGGGGGTCAGAAAACGTGAATGAAGTCTTATCCTACCGATAAATTAGCACAGCGTGATTCAATCTATACTAAGCATGCTAGCAACTGGATTTTTTATGATGCTGCTGCTTACAGATCGGTCAATGATAAAATTAAATTCATTTGTAAAAAGTTGAAGTCATTGAGGGATGGTCCGGAAGGGGTTGTTGAGTTTTTCTTAATTTAGCCAGCCACTCCTACCGTTTTTACTATCCTCAGTCTGTTCGATAAGGATAAAGTTCGTATTGATTCTTGGAAGAAATTGGGTTGGGATAGGTCTGAAGTTCACATTTATCCCTGGTTTCCTAAAAAAGTTGGGCCAGAGGAAAAAAGGGAGCAGATGATGAGGGACTTTTACTGGGTCAAATTCAGACATATTCCAATTGAAATACATGCGGCTTTTATCCATGATTTTGACCAACAATATAAGATCGTGGATTTCATTAATCCACTTCCCTCATATGTAGCAAAGAGGGATGATTACCTAATGTTGGCACTGGATCTACCTAAGGAATAACTTTTCTCAATGGATGATATAATCCCTTTCAAAATGGGAGGGAGGGTACACCAGATTCACACGGCCCACAAATTCAGGCCGTGGTGTTTTAAGTGCAAATCGTATGGTCACCTTCACACGGATTATGCGTGCTCCCTTCATCCCCAACATGCGGTTCCTATTGACAGACGTTTTCAACGGGACCCCAAAAGACCTAATAAATGGGTCCCTGCGGTCCCGGGGCACGAAGGGTTGGTGTACCATACGGATATCAGTCAGGCTGACCAACCGGTTGGGTGGATTTAGGAAGGGAGAAGTGACGTTCACAAGTCGCCCCGTCCACCACAGAATTGGCTCCCTCCCCTCTCCCTTCCTATGCAGAATGACAAGGCATTGGGCACCGATCCTAAAGGTGTGAAGGTTCAAAGCTTGGGGTCCAAAAGGAAGCCCCCCTATGGTCACAATGACACTGGAGTCCACGAATTGGATAACTCTTCTGGGGGAATCTCGGGCTCGAATGGTAGGTCTCAGAATCCTAGGGATATGGCTTCCTCTTCTAAGAATGGTTCGGATCGGTCGCTGGGACCAAGAGCAACTGATTACATCCATAAAGAGGTCACTGAGTGGAGAGTAGTAAGGAAAAAAGACATTGCTCAGAAAGACATTCCTGCGGAGGACGAAAATAAAGAAAATCGAGACATAGTCATGCAGGATGCGAAGAAAACAGTGTACGAAGATTCTGACTTAGATTCTACTCCGATGGAAATTGACCCACTCAGTATTGTCTTCGGAACAGAATTAATGGATATCGAAGTAATTCAGGCTTGTGCTCCCCTACCTTTTTTATTCCTCAACAACATGTCTGATTTTGCTATTGTAGTTGATCTCAATACCAAGATTTTGTCAATAGCTGACTGGTTGCTGTGTAACCTCAAATCACAGCACCCAAGGCTGGAAATATCCCACTGGCCATGTGTATTGGAACATCTGGTTGCAATGCTGGAAGGAAGTAAAAGCTTGGTCACTTTTTTGGAACAGAATCAGCCGCCGGAAATTTCATGGGAAAATATCTGTTCTAATTTACTTGCAATAGTCTCGGCCAGATTCATAGATCCTACGCATATTTT